TGAAACTGAAACTGAGGAGAAGTGGACAGAGTTCTGGGCGAAACCCGACGGCGCTAACCTCGCACACCTTGTCTCGTCTAACAGCACCAAAGTTGGCTGCGCCATTGGAACATGCGCTGCAGCAGCACAAGAGTATCGAACTTCACAAAGTGCCACATTTCTTTTCTGTCAGATGGAGCCTGCAGCGGTGAAAGACAAGGCTCCCTTCGAGTAAGTGTTGAGTGAGGGGGCTAAATCAAGGAGATGGCTGGCTGGATACAGCACAACTTCTGCTTCTGCAATTAGACTGTCTGCTTCCTCATGTCTTGGTTTTGCGTTGCAGCAAGGAGTATTACGAAGCGCTCATTGAACGAAAAACACCATTGACAGCAATGACTGAGGAAGACCTCAAAGCTCCTGTCCAGGGCGCTGCAGCTGCTGCCGTCCCCTCCCTTCTTGTAGCAGGCTTAACTGCTATAGTAGCATTTGCCTCTGCATAGAGAAGCTAGACAGTGAGCTAGCCTCAGATTGTTAAGTTCATTGTCGAGTTTCGCCTGACAATTGAACATAGGGAGCTTGCGGTTTGATTTCTGCACGTTAATTAAAAGAGCAGCTGGTTTCCCCTGCTGTTCTGTACCTTCGCTTCGCCGCGCCCACCACCGCGTGGCAGCGGCATCGCATTCAACGGATTCTCATAATCCCTGTTGAAAACAGCGTTTATTAATTTAAAAGCAATGTACAGTTATTAATTACCATTGTTTGAGTGGAATTTTGAGTGAATACGTCCCTACAGAAAGCAATAGCATAGGGGTTCTTTACTTGATTATAAGGAGATTGCGACGACGCACCGTAGGGTACGAAGGGGCTCTAGACGATGGTACGTTCATTGAAATCAGAAATAGTTGAGAAAGTTTATGGGTATAAAGGGCACCTCTCTCGATGTTTGGTTTTTATTTGTCCTGCTTTGGTTGACTCACAGATGAGTGCAGAATCTTACGCAGGATGCAAACAAGTGCCACCATCTGTCAAGGGAAACCCAAGGGCAATGCGCCAGGGCCTCTCGCGTGCTTTTCTACTGATATGCATGAATTGTAAGCGAATTAGTTCTTGCGATACCCTTCGGTGCCGTTTTAGTCGTTTGGTGTTTTCAGAAGGCAGAGAAGAAATATAGTTGAATTCACTGCAAGGGAAGGAGGAGAGACGTAGTAGAAATAGCCCGGCAGTAGCAGTACATTAGGGGTGCAGTAAAGCATTGTCCGTTTGCAGTTCATAGTGCGCTGGCAGATTATCCAGTAAAGTGAGGAGGGGAGAAAATGTGTGAGTTGGTTCATTCTTTTAAGCGGTTGCTTGTGGAGTGCGGGCCGCTGAAGCGAAGAGCTCAGTATCTGATGCAGCCAAAGACGTTCAAGTATAATATGTGTAACGAAAGTCAATCCTTGAACTTATGACGATGCTTGAAGTAGTTCCCATGATGAATTATTGAAATTTGATAATACGCGAAATTAATTATTTTTGTTTTAGCCTTTAGCCTTTAGTTGAGGAGATGCAAAGCACAGCGTTTGTATTTGCTCGCTACATCGACAACTATGTGCATGCTTTGGTACATGCAAGGCCCTGCTGTTCAGCAGTGCAAGCCCAGAATACGCGGAGAACTCCGGAAACCAATGCTTCAGCAGATATTTATGGAAGAAATAACCTATAATTTCCTGAGTAATAAATACTATAACGTCTTCAACGTAGAGACTAGGTAGGGAGAGGCGAATGTCCCCACTGTAGACGCATACGTGTCCCAATTGGCTATGTAGGCTACACTACAACAGATGCGGGAACTGGACGGGCAAGAGAAAGACAGAAATTCCGTGATTAGTGTGGAGTGGGAAGGACAGTGTGTAATAATGAGAAAACATGGTTCTGGTCGTGTTGGTGGACCGTCATACCTCCCAGAGTATTTCCGGGAATAGTATCCGGCCCCAGGGGGCTACTGTGGCGCGTTTTCATCCGCACCCTGCTCGTGGCTTGTTCCAGCTGGTGGGTGCTGTGGGGAAATCCGCTCTATCAGATCGTCACTAACTGACTCACGTGTAACGGCCAACACAATATTCAGTGTTCTATCTAATAATCGGCATCGCCTCTCCAGCGTAACCAATAGAACTAGGAGATTGTAGTGCTCATGCACGACAGTACGTCAGGTATCTACGTCTGCGACCCTAATCGATGTAACCCGCCAAAACTGCATTTTACATGTAAAGCAGAAAAACATCCTCCTTTGAGTCTATGGCCCCATATCGTTTCGTATGTGTTGATTGCATAAGAGGTGTGTGTTTCGTGATGTGTGTGCAACTCCTTTCGGTTCTGATTGTGAAGTACCCCTGGGATTCAGCAGGGGACCTCATGGTCCCCTGCTGAATCGGGTTTTGGCCAAAAATTCAAATTTCAATTCTCACAGATGCGGATAGATAATATGTCCTAAGTGTTTACCGAAAAACACGAAAATAATTTCAGGTGTTACTAACTAATGCTGTTGCTGTCGATCCAGGTCAACTCATACTTCCACACCATTGTTGGGCGCCGCATTGCAAGTTGGCTCTATCTAGCAGGATCGTAAACGCCGGCCGCTGCTGCTATCTTTCTTTCTTATCCTCATTTTCAACTGCTCTATGTTTGTTTTTCTTTAGGTTGTATTTAAACCCGAATTGGCCCGAAGGTCCATCAAGTCAGTGCCGACCTCGCCGCCCGGGGGTTGCGTGCCCAGCCGGGGGGACCAACCGGTCGAGCCCAGACCTCCCCTTCCTTCTTAATCTCCATCCTCCCCGTTCATTTTGTTTTACTAGTTTTTTAAACAATCAGCACAGTCTACCGTCTGTTCTTCGTGACTATGGGTCCCAACTTCAAGGGGGCAGCTGCTGTTTGCCTCATGGCGCTATCTGGGTTCCAGCAGGTGACAGCAGTAACAGCTCCAAAATTCGCCGTTGAGGCTGCAGGCGAAGGTAAACGCACGTATGTTCACATTTTGTTCACTACTGCTTTCAATGCCCGTGCAAAAAAGCGCCATTGCTGCACTGCCCAGCCACTGAACCCATCGGTAGGTCCGTGCTCATCGATTCGCGTGGAGACAGAAAAGCGGCGCCTGCGTCGTTATCTTGCGTTGCCTGCAGATGCATACATCTCCGTTAACTTGGCCCGCGTCGGCCAGATGTCTGTGAGGATCAATCAATTGACAAAGGACGACGGACTCATTGAAGGCCTACAGGAAACACTTCCCGGGGCAGAAGCGTTGCGGGCAGTCACTACGTGTGCGGAAGCCATCTCAGAACTCGTGAGCAAATTCTCATTAGATGACATAAGGATAGCTTTAGGCTTTCCTGGACTTCTCCTTAGGACATCTGGCGTGGAAGATATTTGTCACCTTTCGCTTTACTTTTGTACGTTCAGAAGAAGCAGAAAACATTCGTCGCACAATTCATAAAGGATGACGACAAGAACTATCGCCAGTCGGTACAGGAAGCCCTTACCACTGGACTTAAGTGAGTTTGCACATCTCGTAAGATGAAACCAACACAAGAGGGCGCAAACAGTGTAGTCTAACATCAGAAAACACATGTGCCGAATCCTGTGTGCCTGCGCCCTATTCTTTTACCCTCTATGCTTTTTGAGACATCTGCACGATGCTTTGAAAGGAGAAGGATGGGACAAACAGATATCCTTCCTTATAGCCAATCTCCTTGCCTACCCCATGCACACCGCAAGCGTCTCATCACCATCAGCGATCCACTTAGGTTTGAATGTTGATTTCTGTGCCGCCGACTGCTGCACGTCCCTCAGACAAGTGGAATCATATCCGACAACAGATGCTAAATGGCAGGACTTCTGGGGAAATGTCGACGGCGCCAACCTCGCAAGCCTTCTCTGGTCTAACAGCACCAAGGTTGGCTGCGCCGTTGGAATATGCACTGAAGGCACACATGATACCAGATCTACAACAACAAAAGCAGCATTTCTTTTCTGTCAGATGAGCCCTGCAGCGGAGGAGAACAAGGCTCCCTTTGAGTAAGTTTCAAGTGGACAGTTTCTTCTCAGGAAGACAGCCCTACACAACATAACTTATACTCTCGCAACTAGACTGTATGCTTTCTTTTGTCTTGCTTGTGTGTTGCAGCAAGGAGTATTACGAAGCGCTCACTGAACGAAAAACATTACTGACAGCAATGACTGAGGAAGACCTCAAGGCTCCTGTCAAGGGTGCTGCAGCTGCTGCCGTACCCTGCCTTGTTCTAGCTGGCTTATATGCCATCGTGGCATTTGCCTCTGCATAGAGAAGCTAGAGAGGCAGCTAACCTCAGATTGTTAAGTTTCGCTTGCTGATTGAGCATACGGAGTTTTCGATTTTCTTTCTGCACGTTAATTAAAACAACAGCTGATCTCAGCTGCCGTTCTGGATCGCCGTTTCACTGCGCCCACCACCCCGTTGCAGCGGCATCGCATTCAACAGATTCCAATCATCATTGATGAACGCAGCGCTTATTAATTTAAGGGCAATGGAAAGCTGTTGATCGTCACGCTTGAGTGGAATTTTGACAGAATACGTCGCTACAGAAGGCGATAGCAGGGGTTTGTTACTTACTTATAAAGCGATTACGAGAAGGCACCGAAGGGTACGAGGCTCTAGACGATCGTAGGTTCATGACTCGGGCAGATATAAGGAGGGTGATTGGTCTAGAAAACACCCTTCTGGTTGTTTGGTGTTCGTGCCCCTTGCTAGCACCCAATTTGCCTGCATGATCAAACCGTTGCAGGAAATAAACAGGCACCACTAAATGCAGAAGAAACCACAATAGCTTTGTGGTGTGCTCTTGAACTCTGATGTGCATGAGGTGTATACGTGGACTGTACGACCATTTAACACAGTGAAAGTCAATCAAATAATCACAACAGCACAACAAAGTATTAGACATATCTTCGTCTGTGCTGCTGGCTGGGCCTGGCTGTTTTGTTTACTCCTACATGCGCACACATGCTAACGGAAAACGCGAGAAAAAAGAGAAACAGACAGCTACAATGCTCTGCAGAAAGACATTATCACATCACAGGGCATAAGCTGCGTAAAATGGAGAGCGCTGAGAAGGGTTTTGCCTGTTGCTGTCACTGCGTAACAGCAAAAAGTCAAAGCCTTCTCAGCAAGATCTACAAAGGACAAACGGAACAGGCACAACTGTCGAAGCGATTCGTGCAGAAGGGTGTAGCGCGTTCCTGCAGCTGGAGTATTTCTTCTCTTCTTCGTCTGCAGCTCTTTAGAAATGCGTTCAAAACATCCTGCTGACTGGTGTGTGTTCCTATGCCGTGCTGCTACACGAATTCCAGGCAAACAACCTCCAACCCTTCCCTCGCAGGTACAATGAGTCAATTGTGTTTATTTTCAGATCAAATTATATTAATAATCACCACCAACAGTTTGCGTCATACGGAGACGGACGTCATGCCCTGCGCAATGCCCATTGCAACGCCGACGGTCTCTGGCCGGGGAGTGCACGTGCCCTCGTGAACAGATATAAAAACCGGGAATCACACACTTGTATATGGAAATTATGGTTTTATATTTTTAACATGAATTATATTTAGTTTCCAGCTTAATTTGCAGTTCCGATTTTGTTGTTTTGCCTAGTTTCATTCTCCGAAAACGAAACTCGAGGACCAGCCGAGGAGCTCCGACGTCTTTGACTTCCTGCCCGCACCCTCCGATTTGGATACGTTTATTTTTATCCCCTTTGAAATTTTCTTAAAAGTCTTCCCGCTGGATTCTGCCACAATGGCTTCCTTATACAAGGCGGCAGCGGCCGTGTGCCTCGTCGCAGCCTGCGGGCTCCAATCGGCGGCGGCGGACACTAAAAACTACAAGTTTACCGCAGAAGACGTAACAGAAGGTAAAGATGTTTCTTATCTTCATTTGTCGCATGCCTCTCCTCTTCTTGTTCGCTGCCGACTCGCCATATCCTCTTGCTTGCACATTGATTATCTCAACGTGACCCTTTGTTCCTGTTTGTTCTTTGCAGAAGCCTACCTGGCGGCAAACTTGGCCCGCAATGGACAGCTCCCAGTTCACGTCAGCGAAGTCTCAGAGGACAAAAACATTGTCACTACCCTGACGGGAAAAGTAAACAGCGCAGAGGCACGAACTGACGCGACGTGCAATGAGTTGATAGCATCCGATCTTGTGAGTATAGCAACCAAAAGTGCAGCGACTTTGTGCTGGTGCTAACGCCACTAGTGCCGCATTTTGAAACCCGACGGCAAGTGGGCAGCTATTAAGCTGATAATCTCCGGTAAATTGAATATAAGCGGACTGCCTTCTCATTCGCTGTGTCGTGTTGATGTACAGAAGGCTACGTTCCACCACGCGTTCGAGTACGATGCCGATACCAGTACTAATTACCGTCAATTTCTGCAGGCAGCTCTTGACAAAGGATTGGCGATCTTCGAGTAAGTAAATGGCATATTCATATTCACTACAGACAACTGGCATCTGCTCCCTTTGCATAATACACCGACAGTGATTATACTTAGCATACCTATCGAGCGAGCCTCGCCACTTTCCCTTAGCCAGCTCCTAATTATTACATCCGTGTTGAGTTGTGTTGACTGCTTCAATTTCTCTAAAAGGAAAAAATACCCTGAGAATGAAAAAGCGTGGCAAACTATCTGGGGAAACGATGCGGGTGCCAACCTGGCACACCTTCTCGGGTCTAACAGCACTAAAATCGGCTGCGTTATTGGTAAGTGTGGCGAAGAACGACCTGAAGTTGTTACACTAAACGATGGTTCTGTGGCTCAAAAACAAAATGCTGTCCTGTTCTGCCAATTAAGCCCCGCAACAGAGAAGACGTCGGCTCCCTTTAGGTAAGTTTTCGGTTTCGGAGCGTACCTTGCAGGAGGGGCCTATGAATGGACTTAGGCCCAAGCATCCACCCCAACTCTAGATCTGCTTTTTTGGTCTGATTTTCTGTCTGTTTTTCCTGTTTTTCAGCGAGGAATATTTCAACGGACTGATAGAACGAACAACTCTGTTAAAGGATATGACGGCAGACGACCTGAAGCTTTCTGTTGGAAATGGCGCTGAAGCAGT